ATTCAAGTCGACATCGGAGTTACATGCATGTTTGAGGCATTTTGAAAGAAGATTTAGATTATTAAAGTTGATTGCGAGGGATGATGCACCGAGAATGACTGGAGCAAGCAAACTGATATCGAGCTCGCATTCAAGCTCGGGCATAGGAAGGGAAAGTAGGGATTAGGTGGGCTTTGCAAAGGCCCCCGAAAGTCTCTGATTGACATCATGTCCACGCAAGATGCGTAATCAAAAGCTAGATCATGTTGTCGATCAATGTATTTTTTCTGCATATGCAGAGCCCATATGAAAGCAAGTAGTTGGTGAGCTGTGGACAATAACACTGTGTGCAGAAGTTCAGGCAGTGCAGCGCACCTGACAATTTTGGAGACCTGGCATAGTGAAAGGGCAGATGAGTATGGATCTCGAGTGTAGGGGGCATGTCAAACAAAAGGTGGTTGTGCCGCATGCTTGAAGATGATGAGGGTGAGCTCAGTTGGAAGGTCGTTAAATCTAAATGATATGGGAGTACATCAGCAAACTACTGGGTGCCTGTACAGGATTGTACAGGATTGTACAATCTTGTACAGACTCACAGAACCCACAGCTAAGTCCCCCCTTTGCAGGTTTGTACAATAGGCCTACAATCTGTACACTTGTTCACAATATAGACAGACAACCAAGGCTGTGAAGTTCAGACATGTTGCACACATTGTGCAGAAAGCACATTGTGTATCAATAATAGTAGCTGCACATGGGGAACATGCTATGCAAGCATACAAAAATCGTGCAAACTGTCATCATGATTATCAAATTAAACAAAAACATTGAGCATTGAACAGCGCATTAAAGTATGATATTGATGTCCCCCCGCGTCACTGCCTGCATCACTCCATGCCAATCAAATTCGCCCATACCAATCTTAGCCCATTGCTCCAACATTTCTTCAAGCTCTTCACAAAGTTCTGGAATGTCGAGCAACTTGTCAACGGATTTGCGCAACTTGTCGAAGTCGGTTCTGCATCTATCAGCGGAGAGTTCAGGCACTTTGTTGGTGCCAGTTTCACTGAACCCAGAAATAACACCCTTCATCTATTAAATCATCAGTGACAAAAAATAAAATAAACTGCGTAGCATACAACTGCCACCACGAGAATGAGGCCATTGACAGGGATTGTGTTGCGGAAGTCATCTGTGTTCTTCAGTGCTTTCTTGCTGTTGCTGTAGAAAAACTCGAGACAGACATCCTTGAGAGCCTGCGATACAAAATTCTTGAATTTGCCCTGCGAGAAAACAGTGAGTGGTGTTATTGACACAAGTCATCACCTGTTACAAGTAACATCGGTCACGTGGCCCCCCTATCATTTTCCCCTCATCCTCGCCCTCGCCATCTACCGGCTCGTCCTCCTTTACCGCCTTTCCGTTGACCGGATCCTCGGGACCATTCCCGTCCCTCGCATCGCCCGCCTCTATGCACGTGCACGCACGTTCCTCCTTTGATTCGACCACCAATGTGGTCCCACACCTATGACTCGGTCTGACTCATGCCACCAATGTGGCTTTCCTCTTTCTGTTTCCCCTGACTGCGGATTCCCGCACGTTGTATTCTTACCGTTGGTCCGTTCCAACGTTTCTCGGTCTCATTCCACATTCGACCACCCATCACTAATCTGGCCATGTTGCCAACACACCTATACCACATTCACATCCCCTTTACCCTTACCTACTGTGCGGTAGCCTTGCCCTTAACCCTCTCCACTTAGTATAAGTAGTCGGTCACCCTGTACTAGATTCTCTAACTTGAATCTACTCAATCTTCCCTGGAACATACTTCCCTCTGAAGCCCCCTCAGCTTCAGTCTCTAGTATCTTTTCTTAGTCGCTCCTCGCGACTAAGTCCACCTCGATCGACCTCATCGTCCGGACAAGACAGTCCCGACCTTGAGTGACTTCTCAAGACATCCGTCTACGAAGTCACGTGACACGCGCTGTAGGGATTCATTTCTGGCTGGGCTTGCAGAGACTGTTTTTACCTTAGTGTTATGTTTGCACTTTTGTAGCTTACATAATAAAGTTACCTTTTCACCAGTTCTACTATGAGTCTGAGTATTCAGCAAGTTTCTATCATATTTCCTCTTCTCTGAGCCTTGAGCCTGGTCCAGAAACCCTTTAGGGTCGAATAGCAGCTAGGTTCTGCAAGACCCAACATTGTTCAGACTCACCATCTGAATTGTTGTACCTTCAGCGCGTACTGTGATCGCTGCCGACTCGTTGTCGCCAGTCTCACTTGCTATACCGGATCCTTCCGGTTACGTCACGAACGTTAGCGGACGACGCTCCTCTTAAGGCTCCGCCTAACAGATCTATTTGAGTGCGTAACATCACCTACATTAGATGAGTCAGGGATCCGGAGGTAACCACCGGTCTTAAGCAGCTTGGTGGCAGTTGCAGCGATAGAATTCTTTATCTCCTCTGGTCGCATTGCAGTGCCCTTCAGGAAGATATCATATGACAGTTTGGCAATGGAGACGACGACCTTTTTAAACTCCGTATGGAATGTGAAGAGATCATCGCAGAGCTAATCAGCATGTCAGTGAGCATGTTCGCCATCAATAAATGGAAGACTTACCAACCAGCACATTTGTGGGCTATACACCGGAAAGTAGCCTTGCAATAAAACGTGAGATGGCTGGAAGAAAGTGGCGGTACAAGGAGTGTACATTGGTAGTAGATGTGGGTGCCTTGAACCCAAACCTGTCAGTAGAGCAACCAGTATGTAGCACCGGACGGGGAGAAGTGTGGGCTGAGTGATTTCTCACATTGTTGCCGGACTTTTGAGATGATCGATTGTTGCTCGTAGTTGGAGGTGTCGCAGATGCAGGTTTTCGTTTTGTAGCATTTTTTGCAGCCGGAGGTTTTGCAGGAGCCTGACAAGGTCATAGTTCGAACATCATTAAAACAAAATAAACTTACACTTTTTTTCCCCCGATGTAGCTGCACAGGAGCCATTGAGTTTTCTTCAGGATCACTGACATCAAGCTCAGGGTAATCATTTTGCCCTTTCCGACTCTTTGCCCGTGCTGCTACCGCTTCTCCAGCTTTTTGAAGCTGTGCTGCGTGGCCGCCAACACTGCGATTCGATCTTGAGCTTTGTCGACAAGGTGCTGTGTCATCTTGAGCATTGGTAGAATGTCTAGCCCTCTTCTTGGGAGGCATCGAGCAATATTGTCAGCTGTGACTGCGACAAAGCTGTAATGAACAAGGTCGCCAGTTAGTACTTATTGATCTCACATAAGCTAATGTTATGTAATCAGACAGTATGCGTACAGAGGCATCCTCAAAAAATAAACGAGATTCACAGTAGACCAAGGAGAAAAGATAAGTACTCATGCCAGCATGGTACAACTCAGAACGAGATGACGAGACTTCTCTCTATCTCATCTTGTCCTCCGAGTAATAGATACAAGTCATTGAGAATGGCGTGGGCCTGGCTAACTAGTCGAAGACCATGTTGTGCCAGTACGTGGAAGGGTCGAAGGACCTGCAGTGGGTTGAACAGTAGGAGACTGGGGAGGAGGATAGGGCAGCGGGATTGGGATGGGTATTTCATCTGAGTCCTCGAGTTTCGCAATGAACATTGCAAGCATCTGGAATATGTGATCGTGAATGATTGTTGCATTGGTGTCAATTTCTGTGAGGTGGATTTGACTGCGCCATTCATTGACTAGGGGTTTGAATTCCGAAAAATAATCGGAGACTCTGTCCATTAGAAAGTCGCCTTCGTATATGGCCCCCTTCTTCGATAAGAAGGTGGTAAGTAAACTGCTGGCACCTAGGTTTTCATAGGCCTCCAACCATGGCATCGCCAGCTTATCCCATGTCGGTGCGACTATACCATGTGCCCCCCCATACTTTGTAACAAATTCGAAAAAAATGTAAAACATAGACTCAAGGTCATCGCACATGTAGTGTTCGATTTGCTGCAGCTGAGTAGCATCAGCAGTCTTTTTAACGGTCTCGGCATTCCTCAACATCTTCTTAAGGACACGCATGGAGATATATGGGATAGTCCCCTAGAAAAAAAATAAGATCAAAAGCAAGAACAGTAAACTGGACATTCAATCTTACAGTACCAAATGAAATTGTAGACGTCTTGCCTTCCTCTATAAATCTGGCATAATCGAAATCGATGAAGTAGCTGTTACCCTCATAAATGATGAAGTTGTTCAGGCTGAGGTCCCCATGTAGAATTCCACATTCGACCATGAGTCTATGAGCTAATGATACAACATTAAACTTGAATTTGACGCATCAAATTGAACTGAACTCACCAACAACAAAGTCACAAAAAGCACAGATCAACTCCTTCCTAGAGCTGAAGTGTGACAGTGGTTCTCCACAAGGAGTCATGACAAGCTGTCGGTGAAATCGATTACAGAACCTGTGGTCATCCCTATCGTCCGGGTCGAACTGCTGATAGCGATCACGAATCCGTGCTGTACAGTCAGGCTCCCCGTCATACATGACATCCCAATCATCTACAAGTTGGACGACATTAGGGATGCCGTGGACTTGCTTGAGAACGGCCACCTCATGATATCTCTTTGCCTCAGGCACCCAACAGTCCTTCATCACATAATCCTTCCCATCGGTAGGATCTCTGACACAGTAACAAACCATTCCGTGACAGAAGAAACCCCTGACTCTTCCACAAAACATCCATTATCGAGTAAGTTTTACCGTTATTGTTGACTACCCATCCTTTCGCCCCCCACAGCCAGAGAGAGGTGAGTACCCTGGCAATCAGCAATGCACATATGGATGGTGGGGTCAAGGCCAAAGTACTGCGGATCTGCTAACGTGGTCGTGGCTATTGCCTCAGTGACACGGATTGGAAATTTGTGGATGGGGGTCGGAAGGGATATGATGAGGCCCGAGCGGTCAAATAATGGGCGCGAAGGTTGTCTGCACAAATAGAGTAGGCAAGAATGAAGCGACACCAGGGTTGTTCCCACATAATGAGGTACGCTTTGGTAGCAGATCCCCAATACACTGCTAAATCATGTGTTATAGCAAAATTGCTGGAGGTGTGTTCCATGAAGCTCAAAACATCAGCCCATGTTTTGTCCCGAAGTTTGTTCTTGTAATAGAACAGGGCTACATTGGGCTTCTGTGTGTTATATGGGTCTGGTATGGGTGAGTTCGCAAACTCTGCAGACCAGTACCACTCAATGGGAGAAATATCAAAGGGAAGTTTCGGTGGGTATCCGCTTCAATTGCACAGGGCCCACTGAACGGCATGGAATAAGTACTGTAAGTCCTTCTCGGTTGAATGCTTGTTTCATTTCCTCTTCGATCCTGTCTTTACACTGCCATTGAATTCATTGTCACTCCCATAGCGGTCGGTTCCTTGGGAGAAGATTGTCGAACCATGAGAATCCAAGGCCTCAAGTTCTGCACTCAAGTCATCAGTGGTGTCTGTGTAGGAATCCCTTGTCTTGCTCTTTTTCCTGCGATCAAAATTCCACTTTTTTTGTATGTATACTGGTGAGCCGTCCTTCTTGTGGTACTTGATCTTTTCGATGTGGGTGTAGTTGAAGGGAGGATATGGGGATGAGCGCGCAGAAGATAGAATCGGTAAATTTCATCTTACTAAGGCCAGACTCATCAATGACATGGCCATCGAGCTCTGATCTCAAAAGACCCTTCACAGTATTAACTGTGCATCCGCCTAAAGGTTGGAAGCCCGCAGAGCTAAGTGATGCCCCGCAAAGGTAAAGGTCGAATGATGTGGCACCAGGAAGTTCGAGTGACGAGGTTGTCATTGGTGGTTTACCAGGTGAGTCTGAACTGGACGATGTGCTGTGAAACGGTGTCTGGTAGAAGGTGTGCCAGTATGATGTGTCTCAGTACTCAATACTAGTAGTGTTTGTGCAGTCTGCACAAGAGTGCTAGGCGCTCACGGGTGGTGTCGGGCTTGTCGGGACTCCATTCCATCCTCATCCGATTTCACTTGATGATCCGATTTCACCAATTGCAAAATTTGCCATGTAGAATACATAAAATCTGAAGTAAATGTATCTATCCTTGCGAGAGGGCGGCATATGTCTGTTTGTCAAAGTACTTGTTTAAGAAAAAAGATGAATGATAATGAGCAGAATTTGCCTTTGTCAACCGCGCATCTGCTGCGCGACCTAGTTGAGGAATGATATGAATAAATGCACAAAGTTGGCTAAGGGGAACTATGTCACCCACTGGTGCGCCGTTGACATGTTTAGCACGTTTCAATACATGCATCTCAGTGACCGGATCAACCGCACCTGTTTTGAAACTACGCACATAGCACAAATATTGATCTCGCCATGTGATTCATGAACCTCGCTGAGGAACTGGGCGCATTATGAGCTGCAATTCGCAGACATGGTGCCCTTCAAACAGGGGGAAAGGCATCAACGATAAGCAAGATTAGTATCAACATAAACAAGCTCACCCATCAACCCCGACTTAGGCCAATCATAGGCTCAATCAACATTGACGAGGACAGCATCCCGTCGGCCCTTTTGGCTACCCGCTAGTAGGAGATGGAGGGGAGGCATGCACAGTCTGTGCGGGTAAGACAACACTGGCATCTTAGAAAGAAACTTGTTTGCAAATGAACGGTATGCCATATCTGGATACGTTCAAAAGGAAGAACTGAGGGATGGTCGATTTGCGGCCTCCTTGGAACCCCCAACCCATGGCCTGCTTCTCCGTTCCTCACATCACGTTGCAAGAAGTCGGAAAGAGCCTGGCATAAATCTGGTATGTTGAAGTCATCGGCAACCTCATCGATTTTCAACCTGGTGCGAGTAGGGTCAAAATTAAGATGAATAGCGGTGGAGGCAGCAATGAATGTCCGAGGAGGGTGAGAAATATTATTGCATCTCGTGCCAACCAATTGCCTTGCTTTGCTAAAGTAGTTGGTGGTGATGCGTGTTTGGTTCAGCTCTTCTAAGAGTGCAGTTCGCGGGTCCATCAGTTCATCACAATCTCCATCGTCTTCCTCGTCCTCAAGGAATTCTTCTGAGTTAGAATCAGTGCAAGTACTCTTCAGTGTCGTAGCAATCACGAAATGTTGCAGCTTCTCCTAGTGATCTAAATGATGACAGATCTGAGGATCATAGTCGTTGTTATTGGTGTGCTGCGCAGGGTCCTTAATCTCAGATATATGGGCATGCTCAGTGGTGTCTGCGGACCACTGAATAAGGGCGCCAACTTTGCGTGAGCTGGCAGTGATGCTCTGCATGAGTTCGAGCTTCGGTATGAACCAGTTGTTGATAGGCTTCTTTGTCCCCATCCAAGCCTTTAGGGAGATGATAACGTCTTTGTTTTCATGAAAGATCAAAAGTGATCTGTCAATACGCGCCAGTAAATTTTCATCAGGCGAAGGAGACTGCACCATGTACTGGACGTCCATAAGAGCACGGATTTGCAATCACAAATCGACGAGGAGCTGCACCAGCAATCAGGCCGACAATGTAATGCTGGAGATCTTGGTGCGCTCTACCCGTGACTTGCTTCAATTTTGAAAACCCACCAGAAAAGTGGCGATAACCTGTAGTAGGCTGCAATATTGAAATGCGAAAATCTAATTTCCTGCGCTCCAACAACTGTAAGGCACCATTGGAGGTCATGATCATAAAACTCCTTGTGCCAGTGATGCAAAGGTTTGGGTGTCAAAAAGACTGAAGGATCAGCAAGTGGCCAGTCCGCCCAGAAAGGAGAATGGACACTGTTTAGTCGGTATTGCTCGCATGCCTGGAAGTAAGCTCAAGGTCATTGGGTCAACCGTTATGCTATTGAGCTGTTCTCAAGGTGATGGAGCGCGTGCGCTCGGGATGATGAAAAGCGTCCCCAAACTCCAGATATGATGCCAAGGGTAAACAGCGAAGTTTTCCTGCGCACGCATGCAAGCATACATGCCTCCGGGGTATCGACAATATATGCTTGCAAGAGGCATAAAACAGTGGCACACATTGCCTACTGGGTCGGACATCATGATTCTGATTTCAGCAGCTTTCATTAGGGGCTTCAAAACTATGGAAAGACATTCATGCATGAGGAGATCTTCTAGCATGCCCCGCATCCATGGATTTGAATGCAAATACTGCGGGATAGGGAGGAGGGCCATAAGAAGAAAAGCTCTGGATGAGAGCTTGGTGCGAGTGTTCATGTGAATGTTAGCAAGGCATAAAAGGAGTGGATGAGCGACCCTGGCACCAGTCATATTGGTGATATTTGTTTTGTCTGAAGAAAGTACAGTGCCTAGGACTGTCGCACCTCTTGGAAGCTGGTCCTGCAGTCCTTATAATGAGACGAAATGAATATTTAGACACAAGCCATATATACCTGGATCTCCCAAGCAGAGTCGCCTGTCAACCACTCTGAGTATACACGAAGAAGCCGTGCTGATGTCATATAAACACAGCGAGGGACAAAATCGAGCTGGTCGTGGAAAAGGGGGTTACTGAAGAGACTCTCCAAACATTCCACCGGGTCCCTCCAAAATAGTCGGATAGGGCCTTTTGTGTGATTGAGTGAAGGGATAGTTTGGCACTTCCAGCTTGGTCCTTTTGGCAGCATTTCAGCACGGCTTCGTAATTCTTTAGCATTGCAGAATGACAATTTCAACCGATGGATCTTCAAATAATGTCAGCAAGCGCCAGCACTTGTGAAAAGGACACGCACCATAGGGAGTTCCAGAAACTGGTTAATTGCTGCCATACTGAGGGGAGAATGCAGGAGAAAATCGGCGACCTCCCACTCTTCCTTTGATGCAAAAGGGTAGAAGAGGTTTTCCTTCCTGCATTCTGCATACTCATCAGCGTCAAACAGATCCAGAAAGGTCACACCATCCTGAGCATAACAAGTCCCTGTGCCCTCATACACCTCCACCTCTGATAACAATTCTCCCTCGTCCTCGAAATGGGCACCATCAAAGTCAACATCCATCATGCTATCCTCAGCATTGAATTGTGGGACGTCCACTTCTGACGTTGATTGAAGAGATTGCTGCGGCGGAATCAACTCGACAAAACGCAAGATATCGACCATATCGCAAGCGGAACTGTGGCACAATGTTTGAGGCTGGCTGAGGTGTCGAGTGACACTGGATTCCTTAGTGAATAACTTTCCGCACTTTGGACAAGCTGACATATTACAGGTCATCACAAGCTCGATTCAAATAAGTCTCACGCTACACTGCGCTTGCTCTGACACTTTGTACTAAATATTGAATATTGCTGCTACAG